AAATAAGGAACCAATCACCTTTTTATACCCTGTACCCAAAGGGTACAAGGGTATATTAGTTTTGTGCGAGTGCACATGGAACACACAGAAGGAGGCTTGGTAGACCCCACAAAGTATATATATTCTTGATCAGCATGACAAGCCGAGTCGATATAGCCATGTCCGTCTGTCCGTCTGTCTGTCCGTCTGTCCGTCTGTCTGTCCGTCTGTCTGCCTGTATGAACGCAAGGATCTCCGAAAGTATAAGAGCTAGAATAACCAAACTTGGTATACAGATTCTCCTGAGACCGAGAAAGGACGAGTTTGTTCATTTTTTCTGATCCACCCCCCCCCCCCCCACTCCCCCCCTATTAACGTTTTTCTATAACTCCCGTAATTCTTGGAATTTTGAACTAAAATTTGGTAGTCACATTAGGTAATTATATATCCGTATACCAAGTTTCATTATGATAGAATGATCGGAAAGAAAGTTATAGCCATATAACCAGGCCCAATGCACACATACATACATATGTACAAGTACACAAACACGCATAAGGCACGATTCTGATGTAAATGTAAATGTATGTATGCATGCATGGAATATTTTATATTTAATTTAGTTAATTAATTAAATTAATTTAGTTAATTAATTAAATTAAATTAATTAATTAATTTAATTACTTTTTTGTGGGGTGGTACAGGGTATTTAAGAGTTGAGCCTGCTCGACTTTAGCATTCCTTTCTTGTTTTGCGTATGATCAATGTCTTTGTTTACACAGCTCTTTTGTACATGGTTTTTTCTGGAACCAATCTACCGGATAAAAACAGAATTACCTATATGAGCAGGTATATGTTTTGTGCGATCTAACTGTTACATACATTGGAACTAATCTCGCGCCGTTAACCCTTGGGCTATAGGGTATACAAATCCAGCCAAATTAACGAACTTACGAATTGATGTGAAATCGACCAGCCAGCCAGCCAGCCAGGGAGGCAACGAAGTGAGCAAACGGGGCGTCAATGATCGAACTGGCAAACAATTTTCCAAGCAGACCATAAACGGTGCGATGGAAAATTGATTGAGTAGCACACGCGTTGACATTTCAATTAGAAGCCCAATGGCCAACACCAGTCGTTGGCCAAGCACGCAATCGCAGATTGGAACTGAAAAGAATGCTGCTAGCCATATAAATTGCCGCTGCGACTGAGATAAGCGGTTGTGCATGTATGTATGTGAATGTGTGTGAGTGTCTGTGTACCTTATGGACCAATTTAGTCTAGCATGTCGACGCGCCAACAAATTTGCGAACGTACGAGTATGTATGTGTGTTTGCCTTAAAAGAAAATAATGCGTATACGCAGAGTGCACGCGCCAAGTGAAAGGCTATCGTTGTTGTGTGGAGACCAAATGCACCCAAATGTGATTTTGCATGCCGTTGGGCTGCCGTTGGCTGAACATGGAACACGTTTCGGCTTTAGGTCTGTCGCACATGTGGTTCAGTGTCCTGTTTGTTGTTGTTGTTCTTGTTGCTGTTGCAGCTGCTGTTGCTGCGCACATTTTCGCAATTTTATTTAATTTTAATTTTTGCATTTGAAAATAAAATAAACTAAAATTGCCGCGCGCTGCACTCTGCTACACAAAATTTTTAACCTACTTCGAATGGTAGACGAGTTTAGTACGCGTCCACGTCTGTCACACGCACACACACACACACACACACACATGAGCGTACAGCGACAGGCAGGCAGTCAGTCGAACAGGCGGCGGTCATTACGTAAGTGATGGCGATTGGCACTGCCGGCCATGGTTGCCTTAAAGCCTACTTAACAGCACAGTCATGACGAAATTCAGCCGCCTGCTTCCTCTCCGCTGCTCGCCAGCTCGCTTTTAATTGAAAAATCTAGATTTCGTTTAAAATTTCACGCACTGGCTTGTACTTGTATTTACATATTACTTTGTAAAATCTAGATTGTTTGTCGCTCATTCGAAAAGCAAAGCATGTTGTACATGCCGCTGCCTAAACATTTCAAAACTTGCCACACATATTCATAAAACGCGCGATATTATGTTTTGGCCAATTGCGCAAGAGCCTCGCTGGGATTTGCCTTTGATTCTACGCATTGCAAAAAATTATTGAACCACAAATAAATCCGAACTAGTTTTGCAAATTTTGAAAAGTGCAAAGACGCTATAAAATCTCAGACGGGCGCATTATTTGTCGTATTTCGAGAAAGGCCGACTAGTTAGAAGTGTGTCTGTGTGCATCAGTAGCTCCCACCATTGCTGTGGGCTACATATATGTATGTACTACTACGTACTAGTGTGCGTGTTTATATAGTTACTTGCCTTGCAGCCAAAAGCAACAACAATGCAACCATGAAGAGGTTTTGAATTCACAAAAGCAGAAATATGTTGTTATCATAAGTAGATTAAAATTTGATATGCAAATAGTACTTGTGTAGAATTAGTTATTCCTTGGCTGGCAGTTGAGGCGAAAATATTATCTCCATCTCCTTAAAAATAATTAATTAATTAAATAAAGGAGACACTATTTAGTGATGCTATTTATGATTTCGAAGCATGTTTTGGGTGTTTGTTTTTGTTTCAAAACCAAATTATTAATTGAAATAGAACTCTTCTAGTATTCAAAATAATATTAAAAATGGGAATACCTACAATATATTTACCAAAAAATGACTAGTCATGGTACTAGAAACACAATACCTATGTGAACAATTATTTTTCGGTATTTTTCATTATTTCTCCTTTTATGGATATTACAACTTAATACACACAATGTTTATTTTCTGAAACATAATTAATGTAATAACCAAATATTTTGAAACACTTTAAAATTTACCCTTCTCCTACGAAAGCTTGGGCCAAACCAACTGGGCTCAAAGCTAAAAGGAGGCGCTACGAGCTAAATACACAACCACTCCTATAAATTTAAAACATATGATGTTTAATTCGCCAAATTTCAAAATTTTTTTATATTGCTTTATTAAGCTGTATTATTAAAATGTTAATTATATATCGTTAAAATACTGCCACCACTTTACAAGGTGAAGAACAAAAAACAAACAAAATGAATCAAATTTTTTTATATCTGGTAGCAGAGTCCACGAGTGGTATACGCAATAAAAGATAAGTCGTAATTACTTGGATTTTGACGAATAGTTCGACCATCCTGATTTCGCGATTAGATTAGAATCTTCGTTAAAATTATATAAAATGTAATTATATCAACGATTCATCTCATTTTAATTGAACAATAAGGTCTGGTTCTTGCTTTGTTCCGCACAAGTTGACTAATAACCAAGAATTGGACTCATATGTCGATACTTGAGGCGGATTAATTGAGAACAAATTTGACTTTAATCTTCGTATTCGCTTGATTTGCGATTTTTATCTTTTCGGCAAAATGCATTTGCTCAGCAAAGATATTAGAATTAAGTATGACTTATGCGCTGGGATGTAATTAAATAATTCTTTACTTAACAAAAAATGAAAAAAAATAAACAAATAAAATAAAATATAATAAGCAAAAGAATGAAATAAAGATATCAATTTATTTAAAAAAAAAATTGTAAGTCAAAGCTATCTTACAAGATTGAAAAAAGTACTTTGAACAAGACTTTTGGACTTGATACGAGATAAAAAGAGCTAACATTGCTTCTTTTCTTTGTTGATTAAACTCAATTGTTCTTTTATTTATAATCAAAGTCCATTGGCGTCAATCTGACTCTGATACACACCTGTAGATTCAGAAACGACAAAACCAACCTTAATTGCTTACAACTCAACACTTTTATATATCGCATGCACTACTATGCGTCTACGATAAATATTTGGTGCTCCTAATCTAACTAATGAACAATCAAGGCCCCAATACGCATGATTGGGTCACACAGGCAAAATTTATTGATAGCGACATTAATTTGCAGCTATACGACTGTACATATACTTGTATACTTATTTTTCTACAGACCAAATTGCAATCTAGAGCTGTACGCGTATGCGGCAAATTTGTGGCATGGTTTCGGTGGCTGTGTTAGCAGTGGGTGAGGGATGGGGGCGTAGCAGCACGCAATGGCCGCGATTAAAATCTAAATCAAATTAAGTCGCTTTTAAAAGCATATGCAAAAAAAAAAAAAACAAACAAAAAACAGAAACGAGCGAATAAGAGGCAAGCTTAGCAACAACAATGCAACTTTTTAAAACAGAAACTGGATAATGCAACGCACCACGCACGATTTTTCGCCGAGGCGTTGCATTCATGGCACAGTCACAGGCCCAGTCGCAGTCGCAGTTTAAAACTTGGTTTCGGTTTCGTCTATGTAAGTATATATGATCTAATAAAATACCAGCGTAGCTAACACAGCGCTAAGGTGGGGCCAAGCAAATGCGAGGTGCAGGTTGCAATAGAACTTCAAAAACAAAGCTTCGAGCTGGTTTTCTAGTTGTTGCTTGTAGTGTTTTTTTTTTTTTTTGTAGTTTGGGAGCGACTGTTGCTTGTGCTGCTACTGCTGCTGCTGCTGCTGCCTCTGTTGCCGATGCAGTTGCGTCGCCAATTCAAGCTAACAGTCATCAATTTCTGCGCACGCGTTGCAAGTTGAAGCTAGGCTTTCCTGCAGCCACGAAATTTCGTTCAATATTTTCGTACGCTTTTTGCGATTGTCGCTTTGTCGCCAAACTGGTGCGTGCGCCGCGTCGTTTTGTTGCCGCAGCTGCGCATGCGCATGCGTGCGCCAATTGACCGTATATAAGCGATAATAGGGCCGGGCTGGCCAACAGTCAGCCGCGTTGCTATACATCGCGCGCATTGCCGTTACGTCGCCGTGAAGTCTGCCGGGATCTTATTCAAACTTAAGCGATCGAACCATTGGTTATATTCCGAGCAACTAGGATACCTAGCTACCTATCACTTGCTGCTTTTTTTAAGTGTACATGTTATGAAATGAAAATCGAAATAGTGCAATTTTAAAAATTATTTTGTGTAATTATTATTGTTAATATGAAGGTGGGTCCTGTTCTAAAAGTACAGCTAACTAAAACAAAGCAATAGCATATTTGAATGTAAAAAAAAAAACAAATTAAAAAACAAAAAAACAAAAAAACATTTTTCACACTGTGTATAGAAAATACAATATCAGAATGAATTGGTGATACATAATCCTCAAAATAGTTTTGAGTTTTGAGGTTCATAGGAAATATTAAAATAATTTCATTCAACATGGCCAGACACTTAAAAAAACGTTTATTTAATTTCATCAATAATAGAATAAATTTTAAATCGTAAAAATCGTAAGCCGACGGTTAATTTAAATAAAAAAATTTCACAAAATATGTCAGAAGGACTAAAAGCAAATATGTAAATGCTGTTGTTATTGCCAGTGGATGGCTTTGATTACAACTTTTATCCAAAGTCCTTGACGCTTTTGGATAAAATTAAATTTGATTGAATATTGCTTTGACAAATACCTATATGGAGTAGAATTCCATGTATTCCTGCATAAAACGAGAGATGAAAGGACTGAATGGAGCTAGCTGAACGGGAAAACCCTAAATCGAAGAGCCACTCACATATTTAACAGCATTTATTTTTAATATTTATCAAATCGTTTGTGAAAGTATAACTTGCTCCAATACTATTGACTGCATGCTGATATTGTTTTAACCATTTTTGGATGTTTCATCCATATAAGTTTTCGATTGATAAATAAAAGTTGAAAACCTATTTGATTTAAGTATATTCCAGATCAAAAATTTAGATCATCCAGCCCGACTAATACGGAGTTTTATGTATAAAATATCCTTATTCTAGAAATACATTTATTTTGTTTTCGGATGTTACATCAACAAGTCTTCGATTGATAAATAAAAGTTGAAAACCTCTTTGATTGGTTAGTGACCCTGCCCTTAAAGTATATTCTACGACATTTTTAAATCATTCAGTCTGACTAATACGGAGTTTTATGGACAAAATATCCTTATCTTAGAATTACCTTAGCTTTGATTTCGGATGTTTCATCCATATCAAGTCTTCGATTAGTAAATAAAATTTAAAAACCTAATTGATTGTTTTAAGGCCTTACCCTTTAAGTATATTCCAGATAAAAAATTTAAGTCATTCAGTCTGACTAATACGGAGTTTTATGTACAAAATATCCGTATCTTAGAATTACTTTTATTTTGTTTTCGCAGTCTTCGATTGGTATATAAAATTAAAAACCCTAATTGATTGTTTAATAAACAAAATGAAATGGTTCAGTCTGACTTATGTACAAAATATCCTTATTTTTAGAATAGATTGCAATAACCGACTCTCTCGCTCTTCTTTCAAATCGCAGTTACTACTCCTAGCTCTGCTGAGCCTATTCAGCACAGCATTAGCGGTGCCTTCGCCAACAGCGGCACCTGCCCTGGTACCATGTGTTCATGCCACAACAGCCGGCTACTCGTATCCGCCACCCGCAGAAGTTAAGTTCTCCATTACACCCGGCGTGACGAAATATCGAGTAACGCCTGAGATATCCACGTACTCCGAGAACGGCAACTTGCAATATGCATCCGTAGGCGGCTCTTCCTCCTCATATCAGTCAACGGTCGGCATTGCGGGTCTCACACAAGGCGGCATTACACAAATCAACAAATACGCAGCGCCCGTTCAGAAAACTCTCTTCACGCCGTCAGCGGAATATGGAGGTCCAGGAATAAGCTATGCTGACAAGTCACCCGCCTCCAAATATGCTGCCGTAGTGCCCTCGGGCATTGAACTCAAGAATTTGGTGTCTCCAGCTCTGACTAAAACCGTGCTAACAGCACCAAAGCTGAACAATGCCTATTTACCTCCAGCGCCGACTCTTACGAAGGTAGCCACCTATGCCACGCCCGGCTATACATACAGCCAGGCCACGCCCGCCGTCACAAAGATAGCAACGTATACATCACAGCCCGTCGGCGGTGCTGTCACCTCGAATTTGCCCTTCTTCGCACCACCAGTCACTACGAAAGTTCAATCGTATGCGTCTCCCGCCTATAGCTACGTCAAGGCCACACCGGGCTACTCGAAAGTGGAAACTTTTAGTTCGCCTGGTTTCAGTTACGCGCAGGCTTCACCAGCTATATCTAAAATAGCTACTTACTCCACAGCTGCCCATGGGGCTGCTTATGCGCCTGCCATCTCTTATGCAGCTCCTGCCATTTCCAAGTTAGCCACAGTCACGCCAGCATTGTCGAAAACGTACCTACCCGTTGCTCCCGCCGTCGCCACACAGTATGTCTCCGGTGCAAACACTTATGGCAGCGTTGGCCATACTGGTGCCATTTCTCATCAGATTGTGTCCAAACCAGTCGTTTCCTTGGCCAGAGTTACTAACGCAGGATATATCTCACCTTCTGTTAACAAAATCGCCAGCTACGCCGCACCAGCAATATCCACATTATCTGCAGCTCCTACGGTAACAAAAATATCCTCCAGCCTTGGAAGCATTGGATCTGGTGCTATTTCACATCAGCACGTCTCAAAACCCGTCATAGCCACATACGCCGCTTCTCCTGCCATTCAAAATGTGGCCAGCTACGCTCCAGCAACGAATGCTTATGCCTCCCATGCGGCAATCACAAATGTAGCTAGTACCCACGGTATATCTGCTCACGGCGCCGTTTCTCATCAGTATGTTTCAAAACCTGTAATCACCGCTCCAGCAATAGCGAAAGTAGCCAGTTACTCCGTGCCGTCTGTTTCGAAATCATACGCAGTACCTTCACCAGCTAGTTCCAGCCAATATATATCGAAACCAATTGTGGCGGGGTATCCTGTGCAACCCAGCACGTCTCAGATAGCTTCATATGCCGCACCAGCACAAATAGCCACTGGCTATGGCCACTCCGGGGCTATTTCCCACCAGTACGTCTCTAAGCCGGCCGTTTCTAGTGTGCTAAGTGCTCCAGCCGTCGCCAAAGTAGCTGCTTATGCCGCTCCAGCTATCTCCGGCTATGCAGCTGCTCCATCTATCTCCAGCTACTCAAGCGGCCCAGCAATTGGTAAGGTCGCTTCGTACGGAGCAAGTGGTGGTGCCATTTCCCATCAATATGTCTCCAAGCCGGCCGTTGCAAGTGTTATAGGTGCTCCGGCCGTTGCCAAAGTTGCCAGTTATGCCGCTCCAGCTATCTCCAACTATGCAGCTGCTCCATCTATCTCCAGCTATGCAGCTGGCTCAGCTATTGGTAAGGTCGCTTCGTACGGATCCAGTGGTGCCATTTCCCATCAATATGTCTCCAAGCCAGCCGTTGCTAGTGTCTTAAGTGCTCCAGCCGTTGCCAAAGTTGCCACTTATGCCGCTCCAGGTATCTCCAGCTACTCAACCGGCTCAGCAATTGGTAAGGTCGCTTCGTACGGATCCAGTGGTGCCATTTCCCATCAATATGTCTCTAAGCCGGCCGTTTCTAGTGTGCTAAGTGCTCCAGCTGTCGCCAAAGTAGCTGCTTATGCCGCTCCAGCTATCTCCGGCTATGCAGCTGCTCCATCTATCTCCAGCTACTCAAGCGGCCCAGCAATTGGTAAGGTCGCTTCGTACGGAGCAAGTGGTGGTGCCATTTCCCATCAGTATGTCTCCAAGCCGGCCGTTGCTAGTATCTTAAGTGCTCCAGCCGTCGCTAAAGTAGCCACTTATGCCGCTCCAGCCATCTCCAGCTATGCAGCTGCTCCATCTATCTCCAGCTACTCAGCCGGCCCAGCAATTGGTAAGGTCGCTTCGTACGGATCCAGTGGTGCCATTTCCCATCAGTATGTCTCCAAGCCGGTCGTTGCTAGTATCTTAAGTGCTCCAGCCGTCGCCAAAGTAGCTACTTATGCCGCTCCAGCTATTTCCGGCTATGCAGCTGCTCCATCTATATCCAGCTACTCAACAGGCCCAGCAATTGGTAAGGTCGCTTCGTACGGAGCAAGTGGTGGAGCCATTTCCCATCAATACGTCTCCAAGCCGGCCGTTGCTAGTATCTTAAGTGCTCCAGCCGTCGCCAAAGTAGCCACTTATGCCGCTCCAGCCATCTCCAGCTATGCAGCTGCTCCATCTATATCCAGCTACTCAACAGGCCCAGCAATTGGTAAGGTCGCTTCGTACGGAGCAAGTGTTGGTGCCATTTCCCATCAATATGTCTCCAAGCCGGCCGTTGCTAGTCTGTTAAGTGCTCCAGCCGTCGCTAAAGTAGCCACTTATGCCGCTCCAGCCATCTCCAGCTATGCAGCTGCTCCATCTATCACCAAAGTAGCTTCGTATGGTGCAGCTGGTGGTGCCGTTTCACATCAATACGTCTCCAAGCCAGCCGTTGCTAGTGTATTAAATTCTCCAGCCGTTGCCAAAGTAGCCACTTATGCCGCTCCAGCTATCTCCAGCTATGCTGCCGGCCCAGCTATTGGTAAGGTTGCTTCGTATGGTGCAACAGGTGGTGCCGTTTCACATCAATATGTCTCCAAGCCTGCTGTTCCTAGTGTGATTGGTTCACCAGCAGTCGCCAAAATTTCAACTTATGCCGCTCCATCAATCTCCAGTTATTCAGCCGTTCCGGCAATTGCCAAGGTCGCTTCGTACGGAGCAAGTGGTGGTGCCATTTCCCATCAATACGTCTCCAAGCCGGCTATAGGCACTGTTTCCAGCCTTCCTGCAATTTCCAAAGTGGCTACATACGCTACTCCAGCTTTGGCTCACATTTCATCAGGCCCAGCTATTGTTAAAGTAAACGGCTACACCAGTCCTTCAGTTACTCAGTTATCAAGTGGACATGGTTCTGTGTTGCAGCAATTTGTATCCAAACCGGTTGTCGGAGCAGTATCAAATAATTACGTATACAAGCCCAGCATTGCAACAGTTGCTTCTAGTCCTGGAATTCAAAAGATTGCAGGTTATGGACTAGCCACGGGGGTGTTACGTACCACACCTTCTATTGCTACGATCCCAACCTTAGGTGGAGGCCACACAGCATCCGGTCATGGAGCAGTGTCACATCAGTACGTATCAAAGATTGGTCCAGCAATTGCACAAACTGCTGGCATTCAGCATCACACTGGCGGAATAGTTTCGCCCGCAATTTCCCAGATAGCAGCTCCAATTGGGTTGGGCTATGATGCTATCGGTCACGTTTCCAGCCCAGCGAAATCTAATCTGTTGGCATTGGGAGGCAAGTTAATTGGAAGCACTTCGTATGGACTTAATACGGGTGAGCATTATTATATTAATAAAAATATTTTATACGTTGTAGGGTATATAATATACCCTAGATCCTATATGAACTATAGATTGATTAACATAATTCGTTGAATATTCTAAAATTTCTAAAGTTTGTGTCAGACGGACTGCAAGGGCAGGGACTATATTTATGGCTATAACTTACTTTTCAAGTCATATCAAGATAAAACTTCACATGGGGACTCAAAAATACCAAATCTGTATAAACAGTTTCAAGATCGGAGAAACTCCATGAATAAGATTATTTTTCGATGCACCTCCTTTCTTACGGTAAAGACATGTTGTTGTTTTTCTGTACTTCTCTGATTTTCGATCTCTGCCCAGTACTACAAGTACAACAAGGCAAACACATAAGCGCATTGAACTAAGGCAAATTAAATGTTAATAAGCAAATGAATATATATAGTAAATACTCGTATTTGCTCACCCTCCCTCTTAGGCCAATGAGGCCCATTGTGATTCCATATAATCTCTAATTAGTCTACCCTAGCCACCCGGTGGTATTTAAAAATCTTATTAAGCTCACGAACTCTATGTTACGTGCACCACCATTAGCCTCGCTCGAGCACATGAGTGCTCCTCTCAGCGTTGCTTTGCCATAGACCTCGCATGGTGGCGTGCCCTTTCCTTCCCTGTCTGGAAATATGCATGCGGTAGTTCCCTTCCTTGCCAGATCAATGCAATGCAGTTTCCCTCAATGTTTTGGTCTCCTTGCATCCATGTGAGAGTGATACTGACCTTCTGGGCCATCTTATTAAGAGAATTGCGGCAGTCGGTGATGACTGGAATTGAAGTAAGGGCCGCTTGACTGTCTGAGTATATGAATATCGATCTGCCGCGTGCTATGTTGGGGGAAAGGTGCCTTGTGACCTCCTGTACTGCAGCGACTTCTGCCTGATAAACGCTGCAATGAACCGGGAGGCGAAAGGACAATCTTATCTCCAAGTCCGGAGAGCAGATGCTCCCGCCGACTCTCTGATCTAGCTTTGAGCCATCCATAAATATAAACAAAAGAGAACGCTACAGTCGAGCAAGCCCGACAGTGAAATACACTGTACAAAGGTAAACTTCCGACACTGAGGTACATGCACCTCTGGCAGAAGCAAAAGGAAGAAGAAGAACGAACTTGATGCTGCAGCTTGTGGGCGTAGTACCGGAGTGAAATTGTTTCGCTAATAAATTTTTTTAGAATTGACCGATTCAGATAAAATTTAAAACGAAAGTAGACAATTATATAAAAATTATGTCTGCAAATTTTGGTTAATGTAGCTTTTGAAATGTGGACGGTATTGACAAAATTCTGAGGCGGGGGAAGGGTGGGAAAATTCCAAAAAATAAAATAAACTCGTTCTTTCTCGAACCTAGGAGAATCTGGATACCAACTTTGGTTATTCTAGCTTTGATATCCTTGCGTTCATCCAGACAGACGGACGGAAATGTCTAGATCGATTTCTCTCGTCATGCTGATTCAGAATATATATACTTTATGGGGTCGGAGATGCTTCCATACATACTTTGCACAAACCTAATATACCCTTTATACCCTACGGGTAAGTTACTGAACCGAGTATAGGGTAGAAACTATTCATTTACCATTAAATAAGGAAAGACGAAACAGCTAAAGATCTCACCTTATCATTTACGGGTTATTGGAAAATGTTATTTTTATTTTCATCGCATTCTAGGGGGAGGAGGAATCGCCTAACTTGCAACCCCTTCCGTTGCTACCCAATTTTCCACTCTCTTTCAATTAAATAAACAATTTCATTGAATAAGGTAGGAATTAAAAACTCTTATTCCTTACAGGCAAATATCTGGGAGCTTCTGGAGGAATTCAAGGTGGTTCATACTATGGTGCTATATCCCTAGGTCACAATGCAGTTTCTCCGGCTCTTAACTACCCCGGCGTATTATCACAACCCGCTGGTCTGTCACATAGTTCGTCCATTGGCGTCTTGGGATCCCCATTGTCTGGGTATGACCACGGAATTGGCGGTATTGGCCCTCTCGGTGCTGGTTTTTACCGCTATGCACCCAGCACTCAAACGCTTAGCGCACACGCTCCACTATCACCTGCAACATATTTAAAATCCGCTCCAGTTGCAAAAGCCGCCTTATTGAAGGTGGTGCCAGAAAGGCATCTGGAACATTTCGTAAGTAACGAAACACTTACGATTAGACTTACCTTATAACTAACTAGCTGTATTCTTAGAATACTCATCCCCGCTATGCGTTCGAATATGATGTGAATGATCCACACACTGGCGATATAAAGCATCAGCGCGAGGAGCGAGACGGCGATGTGGTGAAGGGAGAGTACTCGCTCGTCGAACCTGATGGCAATGTACGAACCGTAAAATACTACGCCGACTGGGAGACGGGCTTCCATGCCCAGGTCATAAACAGTCGCGATCAAGGCAAAGTGCTGGCTAAGCGCCAGATCCCGACAGTAGTGAAAAAGTCATGAGGTAAGCTCACGAAGAGGACTCCAAGATATATATACATAAATATAGACTAGTGCAAATTTGTGAGACGTTCTTTATTTTTTGAAGACTTGCTGCTGTGCCATTTGTTTTGCCTGCAACTGAAACTGTAAATAGCCTACCATTCAATTTCTCTCATTAAACATTAATCATATTTATGCAACTCCACGACGCTGCTCGAGAACCTTCCGACGACGCCAACCTGCCTTAAGCACCGCGACCGTTTCATCCATTACACTTTTTACTCATGTGATAAGCGTTTCTTGAAGTGCTTGCGCTGCTCTCTCATTAAAGTACGCGTATATTATGTATATGTATATAATTATGTACCCTATGCGTGTGTATATTTGTATAAATCGAATAAATTAAACCTATTTGGCTTATGTTAACTGGGCTTATAGCAATTATTAACCAGTGTTCCAATGAAGCTAGACTCTTCTCAAACATTGCTGAACGGGTTTGTTTAATTTATTTAACTAATGGTATATATAATTTAAGTACGAGTAATTATTGGTTATTAACCCATAAATATAGCAAACTATTTAGTTAAGCTGAAATCACATTTCGTAATAACAATTATATAAAAATGCCTAAAACGCATGTCGTAAGTCCCTCGAAATAAACAAACCGAAATCCGAGGGCGCAGCACGGTATGGATGACGGGCGCAATATGCTTGGAAGATATGTCGCAGAAGATGGCTGCCTTGCCGCTCAATGTCAGTTCGTCGCACCGCAGCCTGCGGATCCAATTGCAGGTGGGACAGGATCCAGGCATTTTTCAGCGCCCTCAGATCCGCTTCGATGTGAGCCAAGGCCTGGTCCCCCTCCATCACACGTCGTGGCACATGAAGCGGCTCCAAGGCCTGAAAGCTTCTACGCAGCTTATCTCCCTGCAACTGCTCGCGAAGCTTCCGTTCCTGACGTAACGCCTGATGAACCATGTGCAGCTCACGATTGGAACAGAGCGCGGAGCTGGTGACGCATTCGCTGTTCAGCTGCTGCTGTTGCTGCCAGTGTGCCTGGGACTGCTCCAAGGCGCTTAGCTTGTCACTAAGAATATCGACAGCCCTGAGCAAAGCCGTGTTCTTGGTTAACATTAACTGCTCCAACTGTTCCACTCCCTCCGCTAGCTGTGTCAGTATCAGACACTGGTCTGTGCTCAGACGGCTTAATTGCTTTTCGGCCATCTCCTTGCGGATCTGCAACTCGGAGTAGTCCTGCTGCTTCATCTTGGCCATATATTTGAGCGTTTTGATTTCCTTCTCCCTTTCGCCCGCAGTCAGTTCCAGAGTCTTCACGTCCTCGTAGTGTCGCTTGACTAGTGCCGCTCTCTGCATTAGCGTGTTCGTCGTGGCATGACGCACATACTCGGTGTTGACATCGCTGGGCTCCAACAAAGTGCTCAGTTCATCCAACTGTTCGTCCAGCAACTGCATACAGTGCAGACTGAAAGCGTCCAGCTCCCGCTGCTTCTCATCTTGGATGGGCGCAAATTTCTGGTAGTGCACGGCCAGCAGACGCCACAGCTTTTCGTGAGCAATGCCACCCGACTCCTTACCAGCTTCACGGGCCGTCGCGCACAGTATTTGAATGAGGGCGCCGATCATTTCGTTGGCCTCCAGTATGCGCTGGTAGCGCGCACACTGCATGCCCGTCCAAGCAGCTTTGTTGCTACAAAATTTCCTCTGCAACCTCTTCAGCTTTTGCTTGTGGCTACAGCTCTGCTCCATGAGAAGTTGCATGCAGTGGAACGAGGCGGAAGATTCATCGCCAAGGCGTATTATGGTGTGAAGCAGCCCGGCATTAACATTCACCGAGTCCAAGGCTGCCTCGTACACCTCAATTAGGGTGCTATAGAGTTGCTGCTCGTCCATTAGTTCGACCAAAACCTGCGGTTGCATCAGGTTCTGGTGCAGTGTGCTAATGTAGTGCAGGACTCGCTGCATAGGATCACAATTCGTGTGCTCATCCAACTGGCCGGTCCTAAGCAGATGCACGAAATCGTCAAGTTGCTGCTCCTGCGACTCTAGGTCGGTTCGATAAATGGCGACATGCGTGCACAGCTCGTAGTCGCAATGGTTCAGACCGTAGCGGAATTGCTGAAGCACCAGCTGCAAGCTCTTAAGCAGATATATGCACTTAGATCGGAAGACAAAGCGCTGCACAGAGTAGCCTTCAAATATGGCGTCGCGACCTATTGAAATAAACAAATATGAGTCGAACGTATGTTAACCAAGCTACGAAATTCGCAACTTTTGTCGAGCAAGGTTCTATTTACAACATTAAATTGAAAGTTTTTTCGCAAATTTCTAAGACACCAATCGTGTATGAAATTCTTGTGCTACAACAAAATACTTAACAAAAGTCATATTTTTAGTTATACCTATTTAATTAACTAGCAAGTGCAGATATTATTTTATTTAAATATGCTGATGCGAAATTAAACTATCTAACGATCTGTACTTTATAACAATCCACAATTACCATTTCACACTCCCAAATTACGTATGATGATAAAGTTTTAAAGAAGCAGAATTTGATATTCTTGAAAGCGTACCCTGTATTGTGTTTGGTGTGAAGGTTTGTAGCATGCAGAAGGACGAATGTTTTTTGGATTTCAAAAGATATAGAAAGCAAATTGCAAATGGAAATTGTTGCAGTCATATCTGATAGGTCTCTCGTATAATTATTTACCATTCTGATCATTCCTATTTTCTAAGTGTACATGTGCTTCATTAGGAATTCGTCTGTGGGAGAGTATATATAGTGTATATATTCTTGATCAGAATGACACGATGAGTCGATATAGTCATGTCCCTCTGTCTGTTCGTCCGCCTGACATTTTGTCCGTCAGGAAGCAAAAAAGATAGAATAACCAAACTAAGACCGAGAAAGATTAGTGTTTTTTCGTATTTCTCGTAAATATTTGAACTATTGGACGAAATTCTGCGTTTACATCTGGTTTGAATGTGTGTCCTCATGTCAAATTTCAAATATATAGCTATAAATGTGATTGCTTTTTTTAAAATAAAAAACTTAAAAAAAGAAAACGATTTCGTTACAACACTCACCAAACTCGCAGGCTGTTGGAAACTTTTCATTGATAGCCTGACACACAATATCCAACTTCTCGCCCATGCGTTCAAGCAACAGCATGACCAGAAGCACGTCATGCTCGCCACCTCGAAGCATGAACTGCTCCGGCACAAAGGCCAATACGTATTCGAGTTGTTGTCGCATCATGCGCAGATCCACCGCCCTCAGCTGTTGGTCCAGGGCGCGTCCATAGGCCTTGCTGATACTGAAAATATGTTGATAGTCGGCCTGACTTTGCTCCTCCTGCTGTGACTCATTGGTGCTGCTAAAGTCTTCTATGGATAGTGTGCCGGTGCCATCAGCCTTGAGTTGCAGTTGCTCCTGCAGCTGGCGTACCAGCTCCCTGAACTTTATTATAGTCAGATCGCGGTCGTACAAGCTTTCCATAGCTGCATTCTTTTCCCGTTCCTTGCTCTTCAACTGACAGCTTAACTTGTCAATTTCGTCTCGCAAATCAGTCTCTAACTCCTGATTGCTTTCAATCAGCTGCTCCTGTATTTGTTCAAGTGCCTCGAGCTCGTTCACTTCGTCCTCTAGTAGCTTCACACGTTCCTCCAACTCCAGCTTTACGCTTGCCAATTGGGTAACCATCGATTCGGCACCCAACGAAGCGTCCACTTGCTCCTTTAAGTCCATTAGCTGGGCCTCCATGTCATCGACGCGCTGACTCGACTGCACTTTAATGCTTTTCAGCTCATTGATCTCCGAGTGTTTGGTCTCTAGCTCCTTGTGCATTCGCTGCGAAAGCTGCTTTTCCTGCGCCAACGTGTCACGTAATCGCACCACCGTCTCACGAAGTCTTAGATTATACTGCTCCAGCCGAAGCTCGCCCGCCGTCTGCGCCTGCTTTGTTTGCTGTTGCTTTTCATTATGCTCAGTCTTGATCTCGATTAGACTGCCATCCTGCTCGGCTCTCATTATTTCCAAATCCAGACTCAGTTCATCGCAACGCTCTTGTGCAAGCTCCAGTTCTATTTGCAGAGTTTCAGTGCGCTCTTCCGCCATCTCCTTGTCCAGGGTGAGCATCTCTATGCTGTCCCCAAGCTCTTCCAGCTCGCGTTGATGCTTAGCCGCCAGATCAAGTGCCTCACGTTGCTCGTGGCGACAACGCTGCAGTTCACGCTGAAGCAACATCTGCTGCGTCAAGATTTGTGCTTTAAACTCCATCAATTGTTCGTTTTGTATCCGTACACGCTCTAGTTCTAGCAACTTTAGCTTGTCTTCGCTACGCTGGGAGCGCAGCATCTGCAGCTCCTCGCGGAGATTACGCAGCTCTGAATTATCTGCTGAGGAGACCGGCGCCGGGGGCGGTAGCGAGCTGCTAGGTGTGCGTAGCGGCGCTCCAAGCGTAAACTGTGGCCGCAATATCTCGAGGAATCCCTGTTGCACAAATGAAGCACCAACGTTACGCTTTGCACAGCTCGTGGGACTAACACTAGTCTTACTGCGCTTGGGGGCCAGAGCCAGAGGCACGGGCATGGCTAATGTCAGCTGAGCCGTCGTGCTTTGTGCTGTTGCCGAAGAGTTTGGCTTAGGCTGGCTAATACGCGTAGGTCGCAACTGAGTGTACGAAGTCGAGCGCCTTTGATTGCAAGTCATGACAGGCATTGCTGTGGCAGTTGCATTTCTTCCTTGCACGGCTGGTGTAGCTGTTTCTTTCATCATTTCTGGCCTTTCGGGCTGCATAGTCGCAGGCTGCTCCTTCGATGTAGTCCCCTGCACGGATTCAGCCTGGTCTGGCGCTTCATGTTGCTGTTCCTTCTTCAGAGTAGTAGGATCTGGTGCAGATTGCGCTTTCGAGGCATGTTTTCTTGACATTGGTTCCTGTATTTCAGCGCACTCCACTTTTCCATGTGCAATTTTCGCATCCATTATTTTTTTTATCGCAACGTTTCGCTCTACTTTCGTTTGTAGGTCTGGGTAATTATTTTTCTCTCCTTCCGGGTACTCAATCACTTTTAGCAGCTGCGTGGGTCGCACAAAGAGCCCACAGTTTGCCGCACACTTGAAATAACTGCTGCCAAGAACAGTGCCATTATTCTTACCGAGGGCCTCATCCAGAACCACACCGACCCACTTGCCACTGGAGAAATTCGTGCGACCAACATAAGCTACACGCCCCTGCAAATTCCGCCCACTTATTTGTACACGCTGCCCAAGCTTTGGTTGCACTTCCGTTTTGTTCATTATACGCACTTGGCGCTTACGTCATTTTAACGAAGCGCTCGGAATGATTTGTGTCTGGCGTGTCCAATTGGAATTACAATTAATGTAAAACTGATGCACCTAAGAACGTCAGCGTCATGTGGCCGACTCATCATGCGCCACCATATGTCAAGACCCCACCCCAAGAGTCGGTCACAGAACGACTGCGCAGAATCGAAACTCTGATAAACAAATGGAAAAAGCGTAAAAACAATGAAGGAGAAGGTCGCAAAATATATTTAACGAATAAGTCGGCATATCAAGTATCAGCTTTTAACTGAGAATTTTGATTGGATGTTTCATCGGCAGCGGCTTAAAAAGGTCGATCACCACACCCATAACGGGAGAAACATTTGAAAAGCTCGGATTTTGCACCCATTTTATGGAACAATACCTTTTCTTCCTCCAATAAAGCCATAATGGCAGTTGCATTACTATCTGAAATTGCACATTTTGCGTCCTAACAAGTACGCATACAATTAGTACAAAAAGGCGTACTATCGCCAAATTCCCTTACCGGTGGTCCTTCAAACTCCTCAGCGACCATGTTCAATATGGTATCGGTCATATTAGCACGTGGCTCACCATTTGCTGCATTAACGCTATTATGCGCTTCCTCCGACGCAGCTGCGTTTGGAATACTTTCCGATTTATTTGAGGCATCTTCAAATACTTTCTGTTCTCTTATACGGTTGAACAGTTCCATTACAGTAGGGCAATCCTCCAATTCACTAAACGCGTGTATAGGCCGAAAATCCTCGCATACCTCACGTTTGCACAGCGGACAGTTGCCAACGATTTTTATATTCTTAGGCATGGCTTTTGATTTTAGAAGTGGGGAGTATATCGAATTTCAGTGTACACGAACTAAGCCTTGCAATTGAAATGATACTAACCAGACGGGAAAGTCAAAACGTGCTATGATATACATACATATGCACATATTGTTATCTTTCCTTCTAGGCACACATTCAGATATCAGTAACTTATTTAAAACGAGTCAACAGTGGTTAAGACGGCATGGGGTCGGAAAACTTCTAAAAGTCATACATATATTAATTACAGATTGTTGCAATTAAGTAATATCAATAAATACATATAAATACTTTTGTAGTATTGATGGTTTCCAAAGAAATATTCAGCTTGGCGAAGCTTTCAGTGAAGCTAAAAAGAAGCAGAGCACTTATTTGATATTGCAGAATCAAATTATTTTAATATTTATTCAATTAAATGAATTCAATTTAAATATATAAAAGTATAGGACTAAAGAGTGTTGTAATTAAGTGATAATATCAATGAATATAAATACTTTTGTAGCATTGATGGTTTCCAAAGAAATATTCAGCTTGGCGAAGCTTTCACTGAAGCTAAAAAGAAGCAGAGCACTCATCTGATATTGCAGAATATATACATATGTGCAAACTATTTTTAACAGTTATTCAATTATATGAATTGGACATACATATATATACATCTAATTCTGTTTTTACACGGTTTTAATTTAACACGGTTTGAAAATTAAAAATTTTATTGCACGACTTTATTCCATTTAGCACGATTCAAAATATTATATGATCAATGTCTTTTTTTAAACGACTTTTTCTGGAACGTAAAAGTATAGCCCGTCTTCCAAATAACGTAGAGGGCCACTAAAAACTTATAAATATTTACCACAAAAATTGAACAAACAACACACAACTTTTAACTCTTTCAGATTATTTCCCTAGTGGTTTTATTGCTGTTTTAATATAATAAGTATAACCAAAATTTAACTATTAACTATGTGGGGGTGTGCCAACCTAATACGTGCCGTGCTGCTATTGTAAACGATTGATAATTAGAAGACATTTCGGCATATGGGGCACGTAGATTTGCTGCTCGTAGTGAACCATTTGTACTGAAAGTATCAGATTTCGATTAGATCTAGGGTTTTAAAACAAATGTCGCTTCGCTGCTTACCAAACAAGGTCCATGAAATTTCTTTTTACATGTCTTACACGTCAACTTTGGCAGCTGACAGGTGTCCTGATGTATGACCGTATAGCAAACGTAGCACTCCTCGACCCCCTCGAACTTTTTATCCAAGTTATTTTTCCATAGCGTTAAGCCGTCATATATGGTGCCATTCTGTAATCTCAGATGGTCAGCAATTGAACATACATAGCTCGTGAAAATAGCTACAGTACCTGATGTGTCAGAAAGATGGTTAACTGCATGCCTACATTTCGTGAGGAGGCTCGGCCGCCAATTTGTTTCCCGCACTCCACTTTAACGGCCCCCAAGGGATAGTTGGGCGCCAATGTAATGACTAGCTCCATGCGCGCTTCATCAATAGCATAAACAGCTAGAACCTCGCGTGTTGATGTGTGCACAGTTACCTGGTTGCGAAAAGGAATATGCTTATATGTTAAACTATCATTATTTAAGAGACGTCTGCATTTATCGACTGTATAGTAGGCTTTGTGTAAAAAGTGCCTGAGTGAGTTTTGTCAATTTACTCTCTCCGAAATGACACCGCTAGAGATATTTCGCGCCATTGTCATCATTTTGCTACTCATAAGCATTTCTGTGGTCTTTATTTTGCGTATGAGTATCGAGGAGTCGGCCTAACTGCTGGCTCACCTGCATATTCTCGTGCTTCTCCTTACGATTAGCAATCGCCTTCAGCTCTTCGCTACAAATCAACGAGCTGACATAGTTTGTAGTTAGATTGTCTACAAAATTCTTTTGCCGCGACTGGCTAGTGTTCCACCACTTTCGCACAACGGCGGGCAGCTTCCGAAGCACCTCCGTGTACAAATGGCAGACATAGCGCTCAAGTGAGAGTTTACGATCTGCAAAGCATACAAAATTCATTTAAAAAAAGGTGCCGTTGTAATATCTATCAAAATCCGAACACAATTCATAATACACGCAAAAAGTCGACAAAAATCTACATTCCATTTCCTGTTTTACCGTTTGAAAGGCGTTATTATTTCTTTAGTAAATTCTTATTGTTCCCAAATTGTGTTTCAAGTTAACTTAAATTATGGCCAGGAAGCCATTAAACTTTAAGGATTTATCATGCGAGGCGCCACCCGAGCCACGAAGCATCCAGCTGGAAGGCGAAAAGAAGTCGGTGGGGGAGACACTCAACTTTCTGAAGATGACGTGTGAGCGCGAACCAAAGCCCACACCGCGCGACTACCCGACGGTCGCGGATGAGTTGAATGCGCGCCTTGGTATGCTTCAGGTGCGTCCCAATCGCAGCCCAGCTATTAAGCGATTGGTTACTTCGCGCGCCGCCGACGTACAACACATGTACAAGCTGCAGTGCATCTGTCCACCATTCCATCCGTGCTACTTGCCGTGTCAGCATACGGGCCAGATCATAATTGATCGTGATGTATTGACCAGGGAGGAACACTTGTGCTTTCTGGCAACCCCGAAAAAGGACATGGGGGCACCACGAAAACCACCGCACTGTTATCAAAAGAGAATACCAATGCCGACCTGCACAGCACGTGTGGAGCGCCTAGCCGACCCACACCCGATGCACGTCAAAGACACATGGAAGTACTTCAAGAATCTGTTGTCTCCACGACATGTGAGGGCGCTGGAAGCACACCTTATGCCAAAGCCGCCTGTAGAGATCATGCCATTAGATAAGGCTCTGGAATACATCGAAGAGGAGAACCGACTACAACGAGTGGCGAAACAATTGCATCGCAGACGTTGTCGCAGTTTGAAGAAGCGAATCTTACAGCGTCAGCGGAAACAAATGCGTAAAATCATTTGCGTGCTATTCGAAGAAATGAAGGACTTTCTGCTGAACGATCAGTTTATCATTGACGAACACTCGCCGCTTTGTGCCGTCATTTTGGAGCGTATCAAGGACTTTACAGGTGAGTAGAACAGCGAAATTTCATTTAACAATAATAATAAACCACTTACTTTTTACTTTAGATGAGGAATTCTACACTACGAGCAATTTGCGCGAATATCAGCGCATCTTAGCAAATAACCTCACTGTATGGATTAACAAGTTCATTTCAAATCTTAATATTTACTTGGCACCTCAGCAAATCGCCGTACAGCGACCAATTATGCATGCTGAAGACCCCGAACAATTCGTACCACTTTCCGACTATATTTCTGTATCAGAAGTTATACCCGAGGAGGCCGGTGAAGAGTTTCCAATGCCATGGGAAGCCTATGAGGATCTTAATTACGATGAAGACTATCTGCCCGATGTTTTGGATAACCCAGTCGACCAGGTGGCTTCCGAAAATACCCTGGTTAACGACTAAGCAGTCACTCACCTTTCAACTGGCTCCAGCTGAGCTCCTTATACACGCCATTGCTGTGGACCTTGGCACCATGATTTCTCAGTATATCTACAGGCATCGCACGGAAGAGAAAATGTAGAAAACTCTGAAATTGTACCAAAACAAAATTACATGTAGTACATCTATCAAAATTGCACGTATGTAAAAGTAAATCAAAAAGTATAGTATATATAAACGGTTTAGTAATAAACAACCGTTGACCTTAGTTATTATATTTTTAAAGATTTGATTAGTTTAGTTTGAAAGCATCAAACCAAGAACTATCTTTAAACTGTTAATTTTTTTATTACTTTCTGAAAGGGTCGTTTCTCTTTTTCTAAATAATAAATTTTGTAAAGCAATATAGGTGGGTTTACCAAATTCTTTTAGTATATTCAAGAAGGTCGTTTCTAACTTTAGACAAATAAAAAGCAATAATTTCGCTTATAATTTAGAACAATCAAGTAATAAAGGGCTAACCAAGAATCATTGAAGCGTGAACTTTTACTTAATACCTTATGAAAGGTCGTTCATACTTATTTTTCAAATAAATTTCAAATAACTTACCTCTTCATATTTGTTTTCAATCAACCAGTTTGTGTAAATAGAGCGCAGTGCTACTGGCGACTTGGCGCAAGCGTTAATTATGCATTCCCACAGTAACAAGTAGCTGTAGGCCTCGTGACTGTCAATTGGCTGCAGGTCCTCTAGTTCAGTAAGCTTGAAATTAAACTCGCTTAAGTATTTGTGTATGATTGCTTCATAACGACTTAAGTAATCCTCAAAGCGATTAAGAAAATGCCATTTACTTAACGCCGAGGTGCCATCGATATTATCAGTTTGCTTGTCGTTCAATTCTACATCATCGGCCACAAAGTGCGATGTAAGTTGGCGTATCGCATACACAGCATTTATTCGGACACAATGCTGTTTAAAATATAGTTGTTTCAGCAGAAAGTTGCACAAGTGATCCAGACTAATTTTTTTGGAAGCAGGGCTTTTACAAAACTAGAAGATAAGAGCAAGTTAATAAAGAGCCGCTTTGTCTATTCAGATATAATTACCGCATATACAAAACCATAGTCGACGAACTCAATCGTGGGGGTGATGAGCTCCAACAAGGCCTCGTAGCAAGCACGAAAATCGGGCTCTACTTCAACATCATGTGTGATCTCATAATAGGATTTAAAGAGCACTACATTGACTTCGCGGGCAAACAAGTTTTCCCATTCGTCAATGACTGTTTTTAGCGTTTCAGTGGAGCTCTTCTGCTTTTCCGAGCGAACAAATGTAACGAGCGTAGCAAACAATTGATAAACAGCGACAATAAAGAAGGAAGTCTGGAAATAAAAATGTGAATAAACTGCAATATAACTTTCCCCATTTCTTTCCTACTTTTGGATCACGATAGTTCTGGATGGATTTCGATACAGTCAGTACCCAGGAACCAAGGCCAATCCGAATAGCATCCCAATTTTTCATAGTCAGCTCATAAGGAAAACGTTGCAGGACCTCATTGAGCAATTTTATGTACTCTACAGTGTTCAGCACGGATTCATATGGTTGTTCACATATTTCTCTGAAAAATTATAAACTATTATGCTATATGTAAATATTACTAATAGACATGCTCGATTTACATATTGTAGTGCAGAAGCTCTTTCTGGGCAAACTGCTGCTCGTTAACACTTGTAATGAATTGCAAAGTCGATGCGATGATATTGCGATCGCTTTTCTCGTTCAAGTCGGAATCAAAATTGTTGAGCAGCATACAACGAAACACTGCCGCTTTCACCCACATATCTGGTGGTTCCGTGCGCATTATAGCACTGTTCAAGCCCAATGATTTTTGAGACAATTTCGGCAGCAGGTACTAACAATAAAAATAGAAAACAAAATATATATACTTATTATAATATTTAAACTTTAATGGGTAAATGCTCCAGAACAATAAAATAATGTATACAATATTGATAACAAATAATAAATACAAATGACACGTTCAAATATTCATTTATAAAACTTTAGTATCGTGAACAATATTGACGAAATACGGAGCGGGGGAAGAGGGGTAAAATAAAAAAGGACTAGAACACAGAAATAGCGGGAGCTCGATTTTTGTATAACCCGTTCCCGCCTGTCTTTCTCTTTCTCAACCAATATTAGCTTTGTTACTACAATCCTTGCTATAAAGTTAAAGAGTTGTCGGTGTTTATACAGACGGACGGACAAGTCGGGATTCCAAGGGATTATTAGAGTCTATATACGAACATTTTTAATATGAATTACCTATATTTTAATTTTATTTACATTAATTTATTTAATTTAATAATAACACTACCCATTTGGCTATAAATATAGACTTTAAATAAATTCATACCATACCATGTATGATTTATGATTGAGAACACTCTGAGGTATTGGGAACTCACCTGCAATGCCATGACATAAGCCTTCAGGGCTTTTTGCAACACCAGCGTCTCCGCCAAATCTTCGTGAAGCAAAATTGTGGCATTATCTTCAAATGCCGCATACTGCGAGTAATGCACAAAGTAGCTCAAGGCTCGACAATTGATTACACTTGACTGCTGCAATGCCGCCTGCAACAACCGATCCTTAACTGCGCCCGCAATCTCACTGCTATTGCCCAGAAAGCTGCGCAGCTTCTCTGATAGACCGAGCACCAAATCCTCGTCAGCCCTATCTAATTGTAATGAAATTTCCAGCCAAGCGTCTGCCGCTACTGCTACGTGAACACACTTCAGAAGCTCCGAAATGAGAGGCTCACTCCTGTGCAGGAGTAGATTTGCATTAGGATCACAGTAATCATCCGTAAGCTCATTCTCCGCTTCAACTGTCTGATTTTGGTCAGTTACAGCATTGTCCACACGACACACGAGCTTGCACAATGTTGCAAAATTGATTGCGGTTCGTCGGAGCAGTGCTGAAATCTTTTCTGGGTCCTGAGCTGCGCAATCAAAAGGCACGCCGGCAGTAACCACAGAGTGCAGCGATTCTAAATAGACACAATGCTGCTCAAATTGCATGATGTTCTTGGGGCTGTTCTCATCAGATGTGAAGAGCGCCACAATGGTCTCATCTATACGCTTTATACGCTCCGCTTCTTCCTCTATATTTTCTGTGGAGCATATGACAAACTTGGCTATGGCTTCCGACATGTCTTCCACTGACCTAAAACCTAGGACGTCCACATAAGCCAGTTCTTGTATAATACGTGCGCAACTTTCCAGGAGCATATCATCAATTTCTATGTCTTTGCTGGAAAGTGCATCCTGCCAGCAAGTTGTAATCTCCCACAGCGTGTCCTCGGAAAGATAGTCGCCTGACCTGAACTCTAAACTGAATCGGTAAAGGCGCAGAAATATTTTTTGACGTACTCCTATCGAAGAGTTGTCATTGCTGCATATAACAGGCATGATCTGTGCAATGAAGCTTCCACACATTTCAACCGTTTCGCTGGCAGGCGCCTGCTCTAGTGGACTGCTCATCGTCAGTAAAATTGTATCTACAGTGGAAGCATTAATTAAAATATCTCCAGTGTCCGTTTGAAAGAAGCATTTGTGTAACAAATTCAACTTTTCCCGATTGCCATCTACCACGACTTCCTCAGCAATGCGTGCAATGGTCGCACAAGTAGCCTGTGAGGTCAACATTTCACGGATGGCAGGCTCCGCGCATAGAGGATAGCTTAGCAGTCGATGCAGCACCAGATGTTGTACGCGATGATTTTTTAACTGCATTAAATTGAGATAGAACAATTATTTTAAGCGAAAATACATCAGTTTTAGAATAAAACTTAAAGAGGAATAAATTGCACGAAGCGATATATCGATATTTGATGCAAATGCAAACGAAATAGTCCTAATGATTAACATTTAAATTTTGGTCGCGCATGAAATTCGCAAACAGGTATAAATTATTGGATGAAGAATAATACATCATATTATGTAATTAGAATATTAAATTGGACGACCTTGAACCACAAGAAATTTTATAGAGATTTGCGTCAGGACTGCCACATATCTTTGGGGTGGATCCGTAATGATTACAGGACATTGGTACACATGAATACTAACAGGATGTTATGACATATTAAATTTAGGTACAAAGCTCTAACAATTATGGGAGCTATCAAAAACCACAAGACTTTGGGGTGGATCCGTAATGATATTGGCACTTGATTACAGGACATTGGTGCACATTAACATTAACAGGATGTTATTACATATTAAGTTTAGGTACAAAGCTCTAACAATTATGGGAGTTTTCAAAAATCACTAATAACGGGGTAGTTCTAGCTCTTATATTGCTCATACAGACGGACAGACGCTTATGGTTATTTTGACTCGATGCGACATAAACAAGAATATATAATGTGAGGCCACACACTAACCTAATAAAATAAAAAGTCTTAGATTGATAGAATTATGATGATCATATAGACATATACATATGTACTAATAACTGTCATAAAAACTCATATAGTTTCTAGAAGATATTTTTCGTATGAAGAACTTTATATACCGAATCGTAAAATCTAAGTTTTAGAATAAAACATTACCGAACCCATAATCGGAATCACAGCACGAATTCATAGAGACATGCAAGGGCGTAGGCAGCTTTTACCAAAGGAGGGGCCTGCTGCCCCCCTGCCTACGCCCTTGGAGACATGTCCGTCTTTCTGGAAGATATCGGAAACCGACTAACTGGGTTGTTTAATAGGTACTCTATTTATATAATTCTCTAAAGAGTGTACATTTAATATCGAGAATGTTGTTGTCATATCTGATGGTGTAACACCATTCGCGAGCTATGAAAGTTGACCACTGGAGCGATAAAGATGATGTGGTAAGGCACAGTGAAGCGTAAATTTTTAATGGTGAAAAAGGCACGACAGATAAGATCTGCCCATAGCCATGAAGGTTTAAAGACAAAGACGCTATGAAGGGTGCATAGCTTCGGCGCACCCGAAGAAAAGTTCTTAGCTCGTTTTTTTAAACATACAACTATGTAGGTTAAAATGTCAAATTTAAAATAATCTAAGAAGATTTCTAAGTGCAAAATCCTAATTTTGATGATCAGTGGAAAGTAAATTTAAATAATACGAAAATGAAGTAATGACTTAAGAAAACCGCCATATAAATCGAATAAAAAACATAATACTAGTGATACTAGTGCGTCTGCACTGTATAGTTACCTGAAGTAGCTTTTGCGCAATGTAGTCTAAACGATCCAACGGCTGCTGTAGCGCCAATATCTCAAATACAATGTCCACTAAAGAATCGCAGTACTCGTCGTTTGGCTGTGATAGCAACGCAACAAACTTGTCCAGAGTAGCGTGCAAGTCGCCCTGGTCAGTGAGGCTCTCAAAGAATGACACATCGGTAAACATTTTAGTCAAAGTGCGGAGCTCTCGAACGAAGCGTGATGACTTTTGAGCACTGGCCTTATCCAGACATATGCGCACCAGCTTGCCCACCAGTTGTTTTAGTTCTTTTTGTATAAAGGATGCACTCCCGTTACCCTTTTTGGTAACTTTGCTTGACTCTGCAGGATCTATTTGGCTTCTTTCCTCTTTGCTCGCTTCGACAAACTTAACTGACTGTGTTTCCAGACTGGGATTGGCAACATACAACTCCTGCAATAGCAGCAAGACATGGGATAATAGATCCTCATCGATCACATCTGTTTCTAGTTCTTCTGTGACTAGTTGGAAAACTTTAGTCCAGAACTTATTAAGCAATTGAGCATAGAGAGAGTCTCTATCGACATCATTAACACACTGACGATCCCAAAAGGCCATTAGGGCAGAGCTGTGCTGAAAGAAAAACTTCAGATGTCCATTTTCATTATGGAGCAACAAAGCAATGGGCTCCAACAACTGCTGTTGCAGAAGTTTATGTGCAAATACGTCCAATTCAGTGGTGCGGTCCGCATTATTGTTGATCTGCTGCATACAAAAACGCAAACATTCGAAGTAGGCGTTGTTGATCACAGCACATTCTGACTTTGAGAGTGGCGGATTAAACTTTTCGGTTATCGCCAGTTTCATATCGCTAAAGAACCTAATGTAAAATTCATAGAGATCAACATCTTGCAAGCTGGCGTCAGTTATTTTGGACAAAAATGGTAACAGATTGGGGCAAATAGCCTGAGCGTTATGGTTGAACGCATTGCGCAACAGCGATGACAATTTGGGCAACAAGGCCTTGCGAATGTTGAGCGGCGTGTACCTATAAAACAAAATATTTGACGGAGCTGTTTTAGGTTTCAAGAGAAAGCATACCAATCATCGAAGTTACTTTGCAGAAGCAACACGCAGCCCCAAACATGTGGCGCGACCAAAGGATCTGCGTCGTCTATGTACTGAAAAGTGGTTGTAATCAGTTGCGATTTTTTTGGTATGACAATTTCAACTAGATCCGGCGACAGTATTATGTGATAAACACATTCGAACCAGGCAGCCCTGTAATAAAATAAATGTAATTAGAAAAATTCTCATACGATGTAGGAAATAAAGGACTAACTTGATGGCCGGAATTTTATTCTTGGCAAAGCTCCAAAATTTATTTTGTTCCAACAACGCGATCAGGCCCTGCTTCACCTGCGTTAAATCTTCAGCCTGCGAGGTATGTTCCAAGAAAAATGATAGGCATCTTAGACTACTAATCACAACCCTTTGAAGCTTTTGCTCTGCCTCCTCTGGTGTCAGGCTCTTGCCTACGGATAGCGTAGCGGCCGTATGAAATGTCAAATTGCGCGTAATGAACTCGAGTATTTCTGTTTGACAATGCAAGCAAACCTCTTGGGTTCGATTCGAAGTGCCGGTAAATGTTTCGCGAAAAGAATTGCACGCTATGCTGGCCGCCGGTGCATAGTTATCAAAATGACTTGCCAACCAAACAGGTACTAACTGCTTCAGATATGGAGCCATAGCTCGTTTGCATTTGGACATTAAAAGCTGCAGCACCGTCTGCGCCAGTTCGCGCACATTGTGTTCAATGTCATTTGCCAAGTTGTAGTAGTATTTGGGCCACAGCGGCAGTATGCTCTTCAACGTATCCAATTCTGATTCGGAGATTACCTCAAGCAGCTCTTGCAGGGCTTTCTTTTTTGTCATAGGATCCTTCTTGGATAGTTTGCGTAGTATTATTTGTGTTTGAGGACTGATGTTGGCATCAAGCGATTGCTCGACACATCCGAAGCCTGAAGTAATAGGCAATCCTTCTGTAAAAGCAGAAAAACTAACAAATGGCGTAGTGCTAGCACCCAAGAGTTCAGCAGTCCGGCGGCTGCTAGAAGGCTGCAAAAAAAGCAGCGAGTTCTTAATCGCAATTCTATAGAAGTTTTCATGTACGTACTTTTGTGTTGTTTTTTGTACGTTGTGCTTGTTTAGTTTTTCCACCCATTGCTTCACGTTTACTACTAATTTAACGAATCTTTAAAAAAAAGAACAACACAAAAACAAATGACGAGGCGCACACGATGCCAGATGATGATTATACGTCAAAATAGCGTCGAGAAGTTGTGAAGCAATGGCACTGAAACAAGCCAATTTACCTACGTATGTACATACATCATCAAATTGGAAGCATGTAGCCGGCAGCGACGGAAAAGAAAAACAAATGTTTTCAATTTCAATATTTTTATATGCTGATACTGTATTGTTAAGAAAATATTAAACTACATACGCTGCTCACAAAGAAGTAGCATATAAATATGATTTTTAATAGTGAACAGCAAAACATATATAATAGTGTAATAGTAAAGCTTGCCTAACAGTGGATAATTCATAATTAAATCTAGTTAAGGTTAGTTGCAAATACATATTTATAAAAGAAGAGAAGACGTACAGGAATCTTTGAATAGCAGAATCAGTTCACGTAAAGCAATCAGCTGATTTGAATGTTTTTCTTTCTCTTTTAGTATTTGACGCTAGGGATGTAAGTCAAAGGGAAAACATCGATATTGATGCCCATCGATGTCTCTTTATAAAAAATCAATAAAATATACTTTCCATAGAAAAAGATCATATTAGGAAAAAAATTAACCGAAATGTTTTAAGCGTAAAATGTTTATATATTGAAACCGGCTCTCATAGTATTTTACTTAATGTTGTTAACTAATGACTTTTGATAATCTTGTATGCTTTACTTAAAAATAAATTATTATATACAGCTAAAAAGCAATTCAATCGTACGCTTTGCAGTTTTGCATTTTATGAATATTAAACGAGGCTATACGAATCAAAACGAAAATTAAATGCTTAGCAATCTAAAATATATATAACAAAATAAACATTTTATTGAAAACATCAAACAAATTAAAATACAAGTATACCTTCTCCGAAAAAGCTCAGCATCGTGTTAAAAACATAGTCGGTGCTCGATACATAGATTTTTTTCACATCCCTATTTGACGCTAGTGTAAATGAAAATGCGGTATTAATCGGCATATTGTTGCAAGTTGCCAGATCAATGAAAAATGGTTTTACTATATTAGGTGCCTATACAAATCAAAACAGTATTTGTTTTCAATAAACTCGGCAGCTCTCCATTGTCTACCGCAAATCACACGTGCGTTTCGTGTTTAATTGTGCATGTAGAATGTCGAAGTTTTTATCATATTACAATTTGTTTCCTATTCCGGACCCAAAGGAATTTCTTGGCCTTGATGCTGACCGTGAAGAGGGCAATGTCATCACCACTCTTGCACGAAATGTAGTAGTCATTTTGAACGTAGGTTACACATTCCGGTTGATGATCTTCATTGCATGTATCTGTGTATATTATTAAATATTGAACTTTTCTTGCATTGCAGATAAGCACACAGAAGCAGCTATGCAGTTGGTCTATGCCGGAAAAGCTTTCGGCTAAGGTTATTTATGATCCCAAGAGTCAGAAATACGTAGGTGTCTTTGGAAACCATGCACTTCGTCTATGGGACGTCGACACTCCAGATGTAGGCAAATGCAAAAAATTGAAGGTGAACATGAACATATCTAATAATATAGACCTAATAACTTAATTAAATGTATTTTTGCAGTTTCAAAAGAGCATTGCCCAACTAGTCGCGACAGACGCCGAGGCGCTTGTGTTATATAGCGATGACACTTTTGAGTTTTTGTCTGATGCTCTTAATTCGCGAAAAGATCAGCAAGAGGACACCTCGGAGCAATTACAAATTGCTGCGTCCAAAACAATAAGCAAAGCATTGGTGCACACGTTTGACGACGGTACTCAGATGCTAACATACTTTGAGGAAAAGCACGCAAACAGCGAATTAAGGCTCATAGCCCGTTATCTAACGACTGAGAGTAGGAAAAAAAATATTAGAATCAAACGAGAGATGGTGCGCGTCACTGGATATGCGGTCATTGATGGTGAGGGTCAACCGCAGCTACTGACTATATGTATGTAAACAATATTTAGCTTTAGCTCTGAAACGTAACTAATGCAATTCTCCGTGTGTAGGGTCGGATAAACGTATATTTTTACTTAACTTGGGAAATCGCAACTATGATCCACCTGGCCAATTTGTTTCTATGTTGGCTGAGCTGAACGTAGAAAGCAAATTATCTGTGCAGGGCATTTCGCGTAATTTTGTGGCTATATATGGCGCCAATTATGGAAAAGAGGGCGCTTCTCTACTAGTCTACAACACGCAATTTAAGGTAGTAAATGCCAAACAATACTTTAAGGTGTATTTGGACTTCTCTCGCCTATGGGCACGTGGTGAACACATTTTGCTAGCCATGGGCAACAACATAGCTGCCGTGCGCTATCGTATGAACCAAGACATGCTAGTCGATATGCTCGGCTCTCAATTCAGCGACACACATATTTCACCCATCGAGTTGGACCACATCAACGAGGAGGAAGCCTTGGAAGCTGGAATCAAGTTTCTTGGCAACTATCAACCCGCTGATATAGTCGAACAGACTAACACAGACAATGAGACTTTGGCATTTTTTCCTCCTGCAGATGGCAAACAAATTGCCTATGAATCACCGGAGATATTTAACAAGGAGTTAAGTGAACTGCTCAAGCAGCATGTTTACGGCGAAGTGGCCAACATTGAAAACGGCTATGAAGATGTAAATGTAACCCTCATGTCAAACTTCTTTGATTTAGGACCACAGAACACTGCCGTTCAAGCAATTGTACGCCAACTAGAACGCAGCGGCGCAGGCGAGCAAGAGATTTCTGAAAAATTGCTCACACTGTTTATAAAGACGCAGAACACGGATCACGTTCTTATGTGCCTACGGCGTTACTCAAACATATCTGAACGTATGCTTGCTTGGGCATTGCGCTATGCGCTGGATAACAATTCGGCAGATATCGAAGCTACAAATGGCGATCCAGAAGCCATTTATACAGATCCTGCACTGAAGTCCAACAAAGAGCTGTTGAACGCAGTGCTGGCCTGTAGTTTTGAATCCAGCGCCATTGAAGAGCACTTACGGCAACGATTAGAATTATCGCACGTGCTGCGCATTCTAAAACACTTACATGTTTTAATGACCTCGCCCGATTTTCGATTGGAAGAACGACCTGGCTATGATAGTTCACTGAAGCATACTGAGCTGCAAACCCTCAAATGGCTCGGGGCACTCATGACGTCACACTTTACGTTGTTGTCCATCTCAAAAGATGTGGAAATTCTGACTGTGCTTAAAAGTTGGTCGGTACTATTAGAGGGGTATGTGAGGAGTTTAGATGATCTTCAAGCCGTTTTACCACTCCTGATGAACATTGTGGAGGGGCGAATGCCGAAACCAAAATATGATAACAGATGGTATAGCATAGAAAAAGTTGTTTTGTACTAGTTTTTATTTTACTAAGAACACAAATAAATATGTAGTTTTTTGAATCAATATTAACACTTAATTTTAGTTATAAGTGCTACGATTATGAAACAGACAATAAAATTATTTTAATAGGTAGGTAAAAAATATCAACTAATAAGAGAGTATACTTGTATAAGTCTGAATTTGATACAGACAATATTCAATCATACTTACGTATGTACAAAGATTATGAGAAATTTTGGGACTACTACAGAAATAATAGTTACTCTAGCAACCCATGTAAAATAAAAATTTGACCCCGAGGCGATTTTGATTTAACAATTTACTTTCGCTAACAGATATAAAGTATACAAGATATAAGTTTCCTCAAAAGTTGTGAATAGCTCAAGCAGTAATCAGAAATATGTATCTTTATTATGTTCATAATTGCGTTTTTGGGTCTGATATTTTGCTCCATCAGCTGATTTGACCTTAAGTCCGAAACAGTTTCGTTTGAATAAGTTGTTATCCTAAAAGTTCGATTACTGTGTTTATGAATTCGATTTCCTCAATAGTTTCTTTATCTATATGTGATTGAATACTTGGGAGTTAGTATTACAAAATATCTGAATATGCCGTGGATTATCTCTCGTGGACCATAAGAAACCTATATTCAATTTGGAATAAGCATTACGACAGTTTAAAATCAAATCTACGTATATATTTGAAAGCATTACATTTAAAAACAAGAATTGGACGGGTCCAACTCTGAAATACTCTAGACACACTACTAAAGTATTACAAAATATCTGAATATGCCGTGGATTATTGACTTACAATTGAGTCAAGCAGTATTTTGTGTATCTCTTCTCTAGTATCTCTCGTGGACCATAAGAAACCTATATTCAATTTGGAATAAGCATTACGACAGTTTAAAATCAAATCTACGTATATATTTAAGCATTACATTTAAAAACAAGAATTGGACGGGTCCAACTCTGAAATACTCTAGACACACTACTAAAAAAGGATTGTTTTAAATTTATTTTATTTAACTTGCACCAAAAGTTATAAAGCATATACACACTTCTGATTTTGATTAATTATATGGGATCAGCCACTCCTCCTCCCCCTCCTGTGTGTTATATACATCTGCACTAAACTATTGTACCCTTCTGGATTATGGAGAGGACGGGTAAGGGTCATAAGTTCTCGGTGCTCATACAGGCGGACCTACAGCTATAGATCTACAATTTAAAATAAATCTCAAACATTTAAAAATATGTGCAAGAGTTAACCATCAGCCACAAATAGGATTTTACTTAAATAAATATTACTTCTACTACTACTTATGAGGATATCAAGGTATTTGCCATTCCAGCTCTATGTCTGAAGAAATAGTGAAAACCCAGTATTGAGAGTTAAAACAAGCAATTGTTTGTTTGGGAAATAACTCGCATTAAATTACAGTATTCGATTTCCTTCTCAAATATTAAACCTACAGAATGTGCATTGTTTTATCTAAATCCATTCTTAAATAAACGATTTGAGACGGCACTTATTTACTCATGTCGTAATTCTCATACGAAGGCACAATTCATAACAGACCCCATTTCATATGTGCATAAATTATAAACATAATGAGAGTAGTTGATAGAGCCCCACCCTTCTTGAATCAGTTTTCGAAAGGCCAAATCAAAATGGCAGCCAACAGAAGAACACTTGAAAACAATGGAAAATCCATACAATAATTGGAATGGTATTAAGTATTATACTTGTAAGTAGTAAAGTAAATCATCTAAATAGCTTAATGGGAAAATACATTTTACAAGAGTTGCTTATCAGTTGTGAGTCGAGAAGGGCCTTCCTCAATCTACTCTCGCCACAGAACTTGCAACATCTCGTCTACATTAGTGTAGACTTTTTGGTCCAGCCGAGATTGAGTTAAATTTAGCACTTCTTTGCATTACCCCTGGCTCTCTCTCCACAACCTGCTTGAAGCTGCTTTCCGCCATAGCTGTGCGGTAAGTACAACAAAAGTATTAGGAGCTAGAAAAGTTTAGCTAGTTCGATTTAAAAACTAGTGGGCGCTTGCGTGTTCGGGACATACATACATACGTACTTATGTAAATGCGCCTTTATATGAACATATATGAATGTAAATAACTTCTTATATACATATGTAGACACGGGTACAAAGCTCATCTACACAAATGATAGCTATGTACATAAAGGAGACTAAACAATTTAAAAGCCACTCTTTTAAATCTATGGCCACGATTTATTGAGTGACTTAAACTCTGCCCGAGCTGCATTAGAACGCATATAAATAGGGGAAAACCTGCTCGTAACGTCATAAAATCGAGATAAATTATTTAATTTTCGATTTCCTAAAACCATTAAGCAGACGTAGCCGAAGACGACGATGACGCTGCGGCCTAGCTACCCCAAGTTGCAAAGTCATGCATCCACACATACCAACAAGACTACAATATATACATACATACATACATACTCATATATGTATGTGTATCTATATATTTAGACAACTGTTTATATACATACATGTATGTACATTAATAAGCAATTCTTTATATTCATACTTAGGTACATACATACATACATATGTATATACAAGTATATATATTTGTATATGAGTGTGAATGCCTGATGCTGAGCTGACCGGACCAAAGGTGCCTAAGCCATAACTGAGGCTGCAGGGCAAGGATATATGTATTCACATGCATACGCCTACCTATGCGCAGGTAGCTCAAGCAGGTAACTCTTTATTACGGAACAACAAACTCGAAATTATGTGACTGGGTATGTATGTATTGACATGACTGGCGATAGTGATGAGAAAAACTGTGATTTCACAATGTGGTTGTGGTTTTCCTAAATCCCTGTCTTGACATTTGTTTTCGGTTATTAATAATACAATTAAAACAATGGACTAACTACTTGTATGTACATATATATGTACTATATTGTAGTTCAAGTGTAATTCAATTCTATGGCCAAAGAAAATATGACCGAAGGTAGTTTGTTTGAAATTAAACAAGAAGGTAATAATGGTATATTTAACTCTGCAAAGCAATAACTTGGCGGTAGATGTATAATCATATAAGAGCTAAAATCTTTTAAAAGAGATAAACATATATAGAAATTTGTTTAATTAAAATATATTATAAATTATTTCTTACAAATTATTTATAACCTAACTTTTCCCATGAACGATATGAGCATTTTAAAGTAAACGTTTAAGACACACAAACTACAATTGATTTTAATATTAAAATTAAGCGTTAATGGAAATTATGTAGGTTTATCAATGAGCTGAGTTCAAATGAATAAACTAATAATTAAAAAATTGTTATTACCTAACAAATACCTGTTCGCAAAATCGAATATTACAAAATTAAATTTATTGTCAAATGAAGCATTTTAATTAGAACTTGCATTTTAAACAGCTAGGCGTGGCCATTTGAAAAAGTGAACATCTTCAATTTAATGCTGAATAAGTTCTGGAAATGCTAGCAGGTGATTTTAAATCGTGACCACCAGATCACGGTCTTTTCTGCTCATCACTGGAGCACGACCGTAGTCGGTCAGTTGCGCGTTACTTGTTACAAACAAATGTTAAGATGTGAAGACGGTCAAGACGCACGCAACCCCCATGCTGGCAGCAGCAGCAGCACCAGCAACAGCATCAGCATCAGCATTTAGCAGCGTCATGATCATCATCAAGAAGGCAAGCGAGCCCAAGACTTGGCAGCACCTTTGGCCATTGCAGCTGCTATTCTTCGGACAGGCCCAGGCAGCAAGAGCGCGTCGCGACGGCTAAAAGGCGAGCAGATAGGTAGGAAACCGGGATGGGCAGGCATGTAAGATGAAACGAGTGACTTGGCACTTGGCTGCATGGGCATCCTTTGTTCGTTCCTTTGAAATGTTACTCATTTTGGTTATTTTTTGTAGCCGCATATACTATACTCGCACACACAACGGCAACTACAGGTATAGATACATATGGTACATACATACATACATACGTATATAGTATATGTATGTATGTGTATGCATACCCACTCTTTTTAAGCGACAAACCGGCCGGCATTATTTTTAGAATTCTCAGTCAAACTTGTTACCATGCTGGGCGAAACAGGCTTTCGAGGGAGCAAAAATGCAATGATCTCGTTCCACGTGAAGCTGCTACTGCTGGCCTTTTGTTGTGTATGTGTGTGTGTGTGTGTGTGTGTGCGAGTGTGTGTGTATGTATGTGTGTTTGGGCGTATAGTCTAGCATTGTTACTGTTTTCCGACTTTTTAATGCCCAAAACCCTGGCTTGCTGATTCGCTGCTGCTGGTACCAAAAATTGTATCGATCTTGCCGGTTTGCTGCCACCTTTTGTGTTTTTCTTGGCCCGTACGCTTTGCTCGATCGTTTGCGCCGTCGCCGTCGCCGTCGCAACCACCACACAGCATCTCTGTCTCGGCCAACGCAAAGGGGGTACAGTTTCGCTCGTAACTGAAAAGTTATAACTTTTGGACGTCGTCACCGCCGCTCGTACCGAACCGCTTTCTTTTGGGCCAGCTGAAGTCGTTCGCTCGCTCGCCTTGCTTCTTCTCCACATTTACTTAATTTATTTTTATTTCATTAATTTGATTTTTTTAATTGAACGCGCCGCTGCTTTGCTGACGCCGACGCCGTCGCCAACGCCGTCGCTGGTTCTGTGGCTTGTTGCTTGCCTCGCAATCAGATTATTGACTTTTTGGGTTTTTTTCGTCCGCTTATTCGTTCTATGTACATTTTTCAAATGTATGTAAGCCTTTGTTTGGACCAAAACATGTTTTGTTTAACGAATTTTTATTAGTTCTGGCTCTGGGCTCCGCACGAAAAGCGTACCCCCTTCATGTGCTATTGTAATCGTATATAACAAATGTGGTTCAAACTGAGGCTTTAATGCGCAGACATTTTCAATGCATATTGATTTAAGCTTGATAGGGCACCATTATCAATGGGGTGACTACTTAGCCACAGATTAGCGAGCTTGGTTTGTTTTGTTACTCCACGTCCATTTCAGCTTTTGA